GTGCGTGCGTGCGTGCGTGCGTGCGTGCGTGCGTGCGTGCGTGCGTGCGTGCGTGCGTGCCGTGCCGTGCGTGCGTGCGTGCGTGCGTGCGTGCGTGCGTGCGTGCGTGCGTGCGTGCGTGCGTGCGTGCGTGCGTGCGTGCGTGCGTGCGTGCGTGCGTGCGTGCGTGCGTGCGTGCGTGCGTGCGTGTGTGTGCACATGTACATGCACGTTTATATGCGCACTTATTTTTATGCTAGGTTATAAGAAAAGTAACGAATTTTTTCGTTGGGTAGCAATTTTTATGGATAGAGGACGACTCCCTCTACAACGTACCATAGGTCACAGTTCGTAACAATCTCTCATCAGTTCCAAACAATTCAATCAATGTTTCGAAAGTTGAAAAATGGCCTCTCCAGCCTAAACGGTTAGAGATAGAGGTTTCAGTCAAGGGTACAAATATGTTTCTTTCGTCGAGCACCATAAGGTAGGGTAGGTCCCGAAATTGAAAATTGTTTTCATTGGATTTTGAATCATAGTTTTTCAGAATTTTGGACAGGTCGCAATCATTCCTTATAGAACTCGTCGAGAGGAACAAAAAATGTCCTCTTTACCATGCCCCTATCTTCAACCGTCAAGCCGATCTAATTCGTTTTTTGTTTCCCAAATACAAAAATGACGTTTATTAGTGAAACTAAGACAGATAGAGGCATGGCGAAGAGGACCTTTTTGGTCCTCTCGTCGAGTACTATAAGAAAGGGTTGGTCCGGGAATTCAAAGAATTTTTTTTTTTTTTTTTTAGAAATTTTTCTAAGTCCCGACTTCCTCAAAAAGTGGGAAAAAGTGAGGGTGACAAAAAAATCCGAACTATTGATACAACATCAAAATTGGACCATTTCGCTATAATTTTTTTTTTTTTAAATTGAAAAAAAATTTTTTTTTATATATATATATATTTTTTATTTTCCTATAGTCAAGATTTGGTAAGTCAAGCCTCGGTCAGTCAAGCCTCGATCAGTCACGCCCCCGCGGCCGCGGGGGGCCGGCAAGTCCGCGGTGGTGGCCAAGTTCCTGAGGACCGCGGTGGTCACAATACTGTGCCTCCCGGACGAATACGCGGAGACCCTCAGGGTCGCCCAGCAGGGAGTCAATCTCCAGGAGCTGGGCATTGAGGGTCTCCGCAACAGGCGAGCCCTGACCGGGGCCCTGGTACTGGAAATACCGGGCCCTGGTACTGGAAATACCGGGCCCCGGCAGGGAGGAACAGGCCAAGAGGTTGGCGGCCTCGCTGGCCACCGTCTTGGCTGGCAGGGAAGGAGTCAAGGTCTCCGTGCCTGGCCGCACGGCCGAGCTCAGGGTACGGGACCTCGACAACTCGGTCACCGGTAACGAGGTGGCCGAGGCGGTGGCTGCGCTGGATGGATGCTCCCCCAGCGAACTGGCTGTGGGGGCCATCAGGGTGGCTCCCAACGGCCTGGGCACGGCCTGGATACGCTGCCCCTTAGGACAGCCCGGGCCGTGACCAGGGTCGGCAGGGTGACGGTGGGCTGGGCCAAGTGCCGGGTAGAGGTTCTCCCGGTGCGCCCCCTACAATGTTACAGGTGCCATCAATCTGGACATGTGAG